TCTCAGCACTCCTAACAGCAAATGTGTGGGGTTTTGTCTCCAAATCAAACAATGCTCCAACTTTCTGGACATCAAGTGGGTGTCTTAAAATTCAATTCAGTTCTGGCACTAACTACTTAGAGTTAACATAGATCCCATAGGTTAAGGGCTCAGCCCCACAAGACTGCCCCACTTCAGATGCCAACACAAGTATTGAATATCCAGGGTACCCAACCTTCTACCCAATTTGGCTACAAAGTCAGGGATTCCCACGGACACAAATATTTACTAGAGTGGCTCAGAGAACTGAGAAGAGCATCTTACTATTACTGGTTGCGTATAAAGGGTACAAATGAACAGCCAGGTGAAGAGGTACACAGGGTGAGATCTGGAAGGATCCTGTGTTCAGGAGCTTCTGTCCTAGTAGAGTTGGAGCACACTACCCTCCCAGTACGTGTGTGCCTTCACTAATCCAGAAGCTCTCCAAATCCCATCATTTAGGGTTTTTTTTAAATGGAGGTTTTATCATACATGCGTGTTTATTAACTCAATCTCCTATCACCACCAATTTTTCAGGAAATTACAAGAGTTTTAGGAGCTCTGTGCCACAAATTATGGATGAAGATCAAAGATAAATTTCTTGTTCTATCACAGTGGTAGAGATGCAGAAAGATAGATGGATTTGAGAATTGGTATGACCCTTAGAACCTAATCTTTGATTGGCTATGGAAGTTAAAGAAGAAGTCAAGAATGTCTACCAGGCTTTTGTCAAAAGAATGGAGTAGATAATGGTGATATCTAGCACACTATTAAGCTACAAATCAATTTTACTGAGAAGATTTGTTTGAGAAATCAAGTTCAAACTGAGGTTCAATTTGAATTGCCAAGTCCAGGTATCCATAAGACAGTGGGACTTGTGGAGAGAGAAGAATGGAACTCAGTGGAGAGGTAAGAAATGGCAATATATATTTGGGAATTGTCAACAAGGTAACAGAAGCCTTGGAAATGGATAAAAGTTTAGGTGGAGAGTATAGAGTAAGCAAAAGCAGGTATCTTTGATGGATACCATATGTGAGTGATAGGAACACAGAGACTGTTAAGGAGACCAGGGCATGACCATGGAGTAAGAAAAGCAGAGCTGAAGGAAGGGAAAGGGAGAGATTGCTTTAAGGAGCAGTCAATAGTGTCAAATCCTGCCATGGAAAGGTTAAGCTGGATAAGGATAAAAAGTGCTCAATGGATTTACTGACAAGGTGAGAATAATTTCAGTGAAGCAACAAGAGCCACGGCTGCACTGAAGTTTGGTAAAGAAATGGGCAGTGAGTGCAGACAGCCGATTGGAGAAGCTGATTGAAAGTAAAGAGGATAGTGACAAGAGGGGAATGTGCTGTCAAGGAAGTGTTTCTGTTAATATGGGAGAGATTTGAACATGCTTATGTGACAGCTTTGAGCACCTGAAAGAATGATACCAAAGTGTGGAAGGCCTGCAATTCCATGTAGAAGACTTTCTTCCAAGGCAATGAGCCATTCAAGGCAAGAGAATGGCATGTTCATGGTCCTGGGTAGGAAGAAATACCGTGGAGCTGGGCATTACTACTTTCGAGGAACATCCTACCCTAAAAAAACTCGTCCTGCTTTAAAAAGGAAGTATGTGCTTAGTTCTGGCTTCTGGCTGAAGGTCTCAGCAGAATCTTTCACCATGTTTTTTTCTGGCAGTCTTTACAGCATTGCATCAAAATTATTGTCTAATTATCTTAATTTTCTTACTAGGACAAACATCTTGTTAAGTTTTGTTTACTTTGCAATTATTCCAACCTTAATATTACAATCGGATAGATTTTTAGTTCAGCAGTTAGCCTCCTATTTGATAAAGGGCAGTGCCAATGCTGTAGGTTTTTTGTCCTAAGATCCTTAAAGCAACTTCTTCCTCACCACCCTCAGTGTGTCAAACTCTGTCATAAACAGCACCATAGGAATAAAAGGGAAACCCTCTTCAGGTGCAAATTAGTGCGTGGTGTGACTGAGGGAGATAGAAGGGATTGGAAGTTTTATATATTAAAATGAAAGAATCCCAGTCATTATATTTAAAGCAAAAGCAAATCTCAAAGTTGCTTCATAAACAAGATTTATTACAAGACAATAAATTTAGACCCAAATGGCAAGGTCTGTGAGCTTCGATATCTCCTGCCTTATTCATAAATCACAACATTGATCAAATATAAATTAATGCATGAATGTGTATATTTGTATACAGGAACTCATGAAACCTCAATATGTAAGAATGAAGTAGAAAGCAATTTTATATTATAAACACCTACATTAAAGCATTTAGCTTTTTTTTTTTAATTTTATTTTGAGACAGAGTCTTACTCTGTCACCCAGGCTGGAGTGCAGTGGCGCGATCTCAGCTCACTGCAACCTCCACTTCCCAGGTTCAAGCGATTCTCCTGCCTCAGCTACTCCTGAGTAGCTGGGGCTACAGGTGCGTGCCACCGCGCCTGGCTAGTCTGTATTTTTAGTAGAGACAGGGTTTTGCCATGTTGGCCAAACTGGTCTCAAACTCCTGACAGGTGATCCACCCGCCTCGGCCTCCCAAAGTGCTGGGATTACAAGATGGCCCGGCAAAGCATTTAGCATCTTAAGAAATCTTAGCCAAGTGGATCTTTGTGAGACTTATGTACATGAATCTATTTCTTACATCTCCCCCTCTCAAAAGAAAAATGTGTGATGAACTATCACTCCTGCTACAGCTTTTGCTTTGGGTTCTTGGCAAGAGAATTGGGAAGACTAAGGAGTGAGCATTACATGATAACTCATGAAAAGAGGTGGAGAGAAGAACTTTCAAGGGTTTCATTTGTATTTCCTTCCAATGACCAACATATCCTGGGAGTGGCTGCTGTATATTTCATTTGGTTTTCTCCCTTGATTGGATTTGTTTTTTTTAGAAGTTCTTCCCTTCAAATAATATTGTTTAAACTTAAATATCAGACAGCAAACATTTTTGTATATTCTATAAGTAAATGTCTAGTTGTACAAGCTATTCACTGACACATTAAAAAAGATTTAGTACCTTTTATCAAAATATCATGAAATGTGTCCGTAAGGCGTATCTCAAAAAGGGTGTCGATGTAGTAAATCAGTGAAAATTGTCCGTAATTGGGAAGGTAGGGAAGGAAAAGATCACTTTTCAGCATGGGTAATGGCAAGATTTCTTCAATAAACCCACCTCCTCCAGGGCTTACTGCTACAAATGTGTTGTTAGAGAAGCAAGACACAGGGTTCTAGGAGGGCTGGGGAAATCTAGAAGTAACAGGAAAAGTTTAGTGTTAGCTAAAAGTCTCTACGCCTTTGATCAGAGGGGTGAGGTAGGACTGTGCAAATGTGCTATGGGCACAAAATGGGGAATGCAAGTCACACTTTAGCCTTCTCCATCTTGGTAACAGCCTAGACAATTTAGAAAAGTATGTGTTCAATTAAAGCTGACTCCTACGAAACGAGTTTAAGGCAATTAGGTATAAGTTAATCCAATATAGAAAGTGTCCCGTTACAATTTTAAAATCAAGAAATTTAGAGTACTTACTTAGTAGTACTTGAAATGTGGTTCGTGTGAAAAGAACTGCTGGAAGTGTAAAACACACCCTGGTTTCAAAGGCTTAGTGCAAAAGAACTATAAAACATTATCAGTAATTTTATATTGCTTACATGTTGAAATAGTATTTTGGACATATTGAACTAAGTGTATTTATTAAAACTATGTTTCTTCTTGCTTTAAAGGGGTCATTTAGAAATTTTACAATTACATTGTTACACTGTATCTGTAGATATAGGACCACGCTGCTGGCTAAGATTAACCTGGTAGGACCTAGTACTGAAGGGATAGATGGGCCGGTCACAGCCCTAAGATAAAGGAAAGTTAATAGGCATACTTTTTAACAAGCCATTTAAAAATACCCCCTAGAGGCCAGGCGCGGTGGTTCACCCCTGTGATCCCAGCACTTTGGGAGGCCCAGGTGGGAGGATCGCTTGAGCCCAGGAGTTTGAGACCAGCCTGGGCAACAGGGTGAGAACCCAGTCTCCACAAAAGATAAAATTAGCCAGGCATGGTGATGCGCGCCAGGTATGGTGATGCACTAGGGAGGCTGAAGCGGGAGAATCACTTGAGCCTAGGAGGTCGAGGCTGCAGTGAGCCGTGATCATGTCACTGCACTCCAGCCTGGGCGACAGAGTGAGACTCTTGTCTCAACAACAGCAAAATAATAACCTATAGAAAAGATAGCCACAGAGTGAGATCACCTGAGCAATACTGTGGGAAAAGTGTCTAGGGAGGAGGAAACGGGGATTCATTTCTTTAAAAGCACCAAAGAGCTGGACAAGGTGGTTCACGCCTCTAATGCCAGCACTGTGGGAGGGCGAGGCGGGCGGATCACTTGAAGTCAGAGTTCGAGACCAGCCTGGCCAACATGGTGAAACTCCGTCTCTACTAAAAATACAAAAATTACCTGGGCGTGGTGGCACGTGCCTGTAATCCCAGCTACTGGGGAGGCTGAGACAGGAAAAACTTTTTTTTTTGAGACGGAGTCTCGCTCTGTAGCACAGGCTGGAGTGCAGTGGCGTGATCTTGGCTCACTGCAGCCTCCACCTCCCGGGTTCAAGTGATTCTCCTGCCTCTGCCTCCCGAGTAGTTGGGATTACAGGGGTGCGCTACCACGCCCGGCTAATTTTTGTATTTTTAGAAAAGACGGGGTTTCACCATGTTGATCAGACTGGTCTCGGACTCCTGACCTGACCTCGTGATCCGCCCGCCTCAGCCTCCCAAAGTGCTGGGATTACAGGCGTGAGCCACCGCGCCCGGCAAGGGAAAGCTCTTGAGCCCGGGAGGCGGAGGTTGCGTTGAGCCAAGATCGTGCCACTACACTCCAGCCAGGGCGACGGAGCTAGACTCCGTTTCAAAAAAAAAAAAAAGCCCCAAAGAGCTAAAGTTCAGCACCTGCAGGCTGCTGACGTAACCACCCTGCCGGCAGAAAAGCCGGGCCAACGGGGCATTGGGAGCGTTAGGCCACGAGGGAGGAGCATTCCCGGGTCCGAGAGGGAAGGCCCGGGAGCCACGCGGCTCAGGAAACCGCCCCCGCGAGGGGATAGGAGGATATTGCGTGGCCCCTCCTTCCATGACTCTTCTTAAGGCCCTTCCTCTGAAGGGGGCGATCTTATCCTCAACCCGAGGAAACAATGCCCTCGAATCTGCGCCTGCAGCTCTGCTCCAGGCCGCTCACACAGTGCCTTCCCTAAAAGAACTCAGCCAGACCGGCTACAGGGATGAAGGGTTGAGGGGAAACAAATCCAGGTGTGCGCTTCGACCGCAGGCGCCTGCGCCAAAACCCCGCTTGGCCCTTAGTTTCAGCCTCTGCAGCAGCGCCTTCATCCGCCTCCTTTTTCCCGCCCCCGCCGGAGACGTCACAAAGAGTGACGTGTAAAGTGAACAATCACAGCCCCTCTCCGCGCGTGCCGGGAGGAATGGAGAGGGAGGTGGGCGGGGAGAGGACGGAAGGAGTGGGCTTCGGGAGCTGGCTGGTCCCGGTCACCCAATCAGAGAGCTCTGGGGAGGGGAGGGGCGGGGCCCGAAGGAGGGTGGGGGGTGGGGCTGGGGAAAGGAGTTGGAAGGCTGCGGGAGGAGAAGGCGGGCTCCCAGAGATTAAAAACACCCAATCAGAGCGCGCCGGCTTCATTCGGAGAGCGGCGTGGGGCGTCGCCGCCGCCGCCGCGCGCGCCGGGGGCTGGTTAAGGCCATGAAACAAAAGAAACCCTGAGAGGGAGCCGCTGCCACCTCCAGCAGCCCGCCCCGCCGCCGTCCCCACCCACCCACCTAGTTACCTACCTTTGCCTCCTTCCCCTGCCCCTCCACCCCGCCCTCTCCGGTCTCCGGGCGGCCCTGGCGCTCCACGGCCCGGGTCCCCAGCCCCACCGCCTCCCCAGAGGAAAGGTGTTTGCGCGCTGAGCAGGGCCCTGGCCCTGTCCGCCATGGGGCTCGCCGCCTGCCGCGCCTGACCCGGCCGCCGCCGCCGCCGCCGCCGCCGCCGCCGCCGCCGCCTCTGCCGCCGCCCTCGGGCGGCCCGGAGCTCGAGGGGGACGGGCTCCTGCTGAGGGAGCGCCTGGCCGCGCTAGGCCTCGACGACCCCAGCCCGGCGGATCCCGGTGCTCCGGCGCTTCGAGCCGTGGCGGCGGCGGCGCAGGGCCAGGCCCGGCGGGCGGCGGGGCTGTCTCCAGAGGAGCGGGCTCCGCCTGGCCGGCCCGGGGCCCCGGAGGCGGCCGAGCTGGAGCTGGAAGAGGACGAGGAGGAGGGGGAGGAAGCAGAGCTGGACGGAGACCTGCTGGAGGAGGAGGAGCTGGAGGAAGCAGAGGAGGAAGACCGGTCGTCGCTGTTGCTGCTGTCGCCGCCCGCGGCCACCGCCTCTCAGACCCAGCCGATCCCAGGCGGGTCCCTGGGGTCTGTGTTGCTGCCCGCCGCCGGCTTCGATGCCCGGGAGGCGGCGGCCGCGGCGGCGGCGGCGGGGGTGCTGTACGGAGGGGACGATGCCCAGGGCATGATGGCGGCGATGCTGTCCCACGCCTACGGCCCCGGCGGCTGTGGGGCGGCGGCGGCCGCCCTAAACGGGGAGCAGGCGGCCCTGCTCCGGAGAAAGAGCGTCAACACCACCGAGTGCGTCCCGGTGCCCAGCTCCGAGCACGTCGCCGAGATCGTCGGCCGCCAGGGTGAGTGCAGGGATGGGGAGGTCCAGCCGGGCATGGCCCCGGGCGTGGGTGGGGAGACGAGAGAAATGAGCATGGGACGGAAAGGGCGAACCCGGCGAGGCCCCCAGATCCACCCCGAAGGGGTCTGGGAGGAGCCGAGGGTCGACCAGATGTGAAGATGGGTCACCTTGCGAAAACCCACGCTTTTTCGCTCGTCTCGCCTGGTAAAAAGTGTGAAGTTTTTCGGGCGACCCAGTCCGGTGGTGTTCACGTTACTTGGGCTGTATTCGTGGAACACCAGGCTGGCGTGGCACCAGAAACCTCAGTGAGGTGGTAAAAGGTCGGGCTCGAGGAGTTGTGGGTTCGCTCTTGGATACGGAAACCTTCGAGATTGCAAGTTTGCGCCGCCGAGTGTCTTCTTTTTAAAGCGTTCAGCCTCCCTTACAAGAACTTGTTCAGATGGAGAAAAGGACAGAAATGGAGGCCTGTAGACTGAGCTCACTGGGGAGGGAAGGGATGTTCAAATGGTCGGTATCACCGCCATCCCCTGCCCCTCCGCTGTTCAGAAACAGCTTTGGAAAAGCAGCCCAACTCACTGCCGCCGATCTTACTGTATTCCTCTCGATACGTTTCAAGTCTGGGAAAGACACACTGACACACTGGCTGTCTTTTGAAACTGTTCGGTGTGCAGGATGAAGAAAAATTGGACACTAAGGTAATTAAGAAACTTCTGTGTTTATACAGTTTTCAGTTAATTCTCCTCTTCACTTGCCAGCACACCAGTACTGCAGACAGACTCCTCCCACATTGTTCAGACAAAGGACCTATGTCTCAGATTCCAGGAGTAGATTTGTGAAGGTGGGGGAAGGGGATGCTTGGGGTACCTCTGTATCCGACATTTTTAGGGAAGGTCTTAAGTTCTTTATGGGAGCTTTTTCCCTTTGTGAAAGGGGCAGATGTTACCTGCTGCCACCGCATGACAATATGGTTTAGCCTGGTTGATGCATGCCTCTTTACTGTTAGGTTGAGAGCATTGTTGGGGTCAAATAAAGCGAGATGATGGCGCTGCTGCTTAAATGATCTCATCTTTCCCAAGTGGTCTAAAGTACACATAAATAAGAGGTCTGTCGAAATAGTGGTTTCACATATCAGAGTTGGCTCATTTCTTTCCTATCTGTAGGATTTTAATAAAAACTCATATGAAATCTGGATAAAGGAGATAGCTTATTTCAGACTGCCTGATGATTGGCACTTACCAACACTGTTCAAAGCTGGACCTTTCAATTGAGAGGTAGCTTATGTGTGTTGTTCTTCTGGTTAATGAGTTTCAAATACCTGGTTTGTTTGGTTTTGACGATACTTAGAGTAATAATCCAGGATAAAACTTTTATTTACATGGGATAAAATTACAACATCTCAATTTGCATCAGAATGAGTTGACCATTCATGTGAGAACACTGAGGAATCGCCATGTACCAAGCATGTATTTTGCCAGGTTTTGAGTTTGTGGTATTGAGAATGTGAAGTTAATTCAGACTTTCTGCCCTTAAGAAGATAACAGTCTAATAAACAGTAGAATGGCACTAACTATAGTATATTTAGTGTGACAGAGTATCAGATAGGAGAACATCTACCGTGGAGGGCCTTGGAAAATGGGTAGGAAGGAGTTTAACAAATGGAGATTGAAAAACTGTGGAAGAACAATGTGAGGAGTGGTGTGGAGGACCATCTTCTAGGTATAATTGCCAAGTAGTGTTGTTTTGATACTTGAGGTCTGTAAAGGGGAGTGGTGGAAAAGGGGGAAGGCAGGCGTTCACACCGGAATGTGAAGAAGTCTGAATGCCATATGAAGATGCCACTTCTCAGGACAAGTTGCTTCAGTGTGCTTATGATAACAGTCTAGGGTAACAAAGGAAAAAACCATTTACGTGCTAGTTTTACAGAGGGACAAGATAACATATTTTATAGATTTAGTTTAATACAAACTTTTGTCCTTCTTTATAGTAGACACCCCGTAAAGCACTACAGAATGGCCCTTGTGTACATTGTTATCTTTATAGAAATCAATTTTTTAAAAGTGAATTCCAAGTTTTTATTTTGTACCAGCTATTACATGATAGGAAATGAGATAAAGCCTTAGTTTTTCTTTTGAGGGCTGTGCTTATTTGGTTAATAAGGAAATGTTGAATTTAATTATGTCTTAGGACATGGAGACAAATTGCTGGCTCTTCCATTTAAACCTTGTATTTTCCCGGAGTTGACAATACTGTTAAAAGTATGTCATCATCCTCTGTCTTAAAAGCAGAAAATCTGGTCCTTTTGCTATTTTGAACCATTCAACTTGTGGATCATTGTACCCCTTTGCCACCCCCATGTCCCAGCACGATAGTAATAAAACCTGTAAAGTTATTTGCTTACTCGTATGGAGAACTAAGTAACTTCTAATGTTCACATCCTTTTACAGTATGATATTTCCCCATGGGAGAGAACCTGTCCTAAGTGAGGAAAACAGGGCAAATCATTTCATTGTCTTGTTTGCTTTGAGGGAGCTAAATTTTCATCCTTAAGATTAAATTATCCATTTCTGCCATTTTATGTATTACCTGAAGCCACAATTTTCTGTTTGACATCTCTTAATTGATTTTGGAAATAATTATGTCACAGATGGAGACATTTATGACTTCAGCTCTGAAGCAAAGAGCAGGACAAATGGAATTCTGAGTCACATAGACTAGCAACTCATGTAGATGGCCTCTGAGCTCCAGTGTTTTCCTAAACACAAGCTACCGCTTTTGATACCGATGAAAGTTGGCAGAGTGTTTGACCTCGAATTTATACTCCCCAGTAGCATATGGTCATTTGTAAATGTTAAATTGGCCTTGTATTTTAAAGCATTGCATCTATTGTGAAACAACAGTATGAAGCCAGGAACTGAATATAATCAAAAAAAGTTTTAGAATATGGACATCAAAAATAAACCTGACAACAGATTTTAAGACCTAATTTTACAAACTTAGAACATCTCTGTTTTTAAGTATAGTACCTGCAAGACATATTAACAGTGATTAACAGGTCTAATTTTAGTCAGCAGGTTTTTGTTCCAGTTTGTACAGTCATTTATATCCATTTAGACTAAAAAGTGAATTAAAATAGAACTGTGTACCCATTCTTAACTACATTATAAATTAATACTGAATGTCATAAATTCAGTTGTTTAGAGACTTGTAACCCAGTATTTTATATTACTATTAGGATAAATGTGTATTTTTCATTATTTTCATTAGACTTCAATTGATGGGATATGTGTGTTCTCTAGCCACATAGTCTAGAAAAGTCATCTCTAGCTTCTTTTTATTGTCCACCCTGTCCAAAAAAATGTGCATACTCCCAATCTCTGGGTTTTTATGTATGACTAGTAAGTGTGCTTAATATATTACACATTATAAAACATAAAATTCTTTATTAACAATTAATACTTTACACTGTTTCAAGTTGTCTTCCCAATTTCTTAGGGTGGAACCGCCTTTCAAGCTCTAACACAACTGAAATAAGGTTTATACGAGAAAAAGAAAGCTTGGTCTTGCTGTACATAAATTTTCTCTTCAAGGAGAAATACATATTTCATGAGAATAAATAGTTTCAGAATGACGCTACAGCACATTGTCTTTTTGTTTTATGGGGATGAGGGTGCATTGTTGGCCTTCTCTTTGCTTAGTACTATGCTAGGTGCTTTACCAGTGCCGTTTAACCCTGCTAGGTGGTTACTGCCATTTAGAGAGGTAGAAACTGTGGTTTTGAGAGCTAACTTGCTCAAATAGTGGAGTTTGGATTTAGTATAGTTTGACATCAGAAATAAAATTCTTTGTACTCTACATTGCCGCCTCAGTATTGAAGCATTCTACTCTGGAAGGTTAGTATTTTGGATTAACTTGTGCCTTAATCGTAGGATACTGAATTTCTAGTATGCATAATTTAAAATATCACTATCCAAATTAGTTTACTTGATAAAATTTTGGTGTCTCTGCTACCCACAAGGCACAGTTATAACTGTAATATAGTTCTGTGTCTAGCTAAAAATTCACTGTCATTTGTAGTTCTGAGAGTTAATTTGTGTATATATAGACACTAGCTTTAAAAATTAAGTATTACAATTTTTCTAGGCTTTAAAATTTAAATTTCGTTAATAATGGTTTGTATTAGCTCTGGGACCCTTGAGAAGGGTTCAATTATTGTAATTGTTTTTGCAAATGGGTGGGGAAATCTACTGCCTTACTTCCTGCCTTATTCAGCTAATGAACTATTCTGATTCACTAGGGAGGAAATGGGAAATGAAGTGGTAGTTCAAGGGTATATTTTGTACCCCTTGGTTACCAACAACCTGAAAATGATCCAGGAAACCAAGTATTTGTGTTAGTCTGTTAGAGATTTCTACCTAGAAAATTTTCAAACAATGTTTATGGGTTGGAATTCTAGGTGGTTCTTCACAGCGTAAGTTTTTAAGGAAAGGTAGCATTTAGTTATAAGGTAGTGCTTAATATATTGCTGATTTGGTTTTGAATACTTTTGCCTTAAGCTGAATTAAAAAATGTTTTAGCATGTGTATTTTAATATAAAAATACGTGTTGTAGCTACACCAAACTGCCTGTAACAGTCTCTGTTCGGCTGTGGTATATTGGAAAGAGCCAAATCAGAAATAGATATTCCCGTGCCAATAACTCACTATGTAATCTTGAACAAGTCACTTAAACTCCCTAGGCTTCAGATTCCTCTTTTGCACCTGGGCCTAATCGTATCTACAATTCCTGTAGAGACTCTGGAAGATACACAAAGACATTGACATATATGAAACTATTAAGTGGTAAGCACATTACTTTTGTTAAGGTAAATCTGAAATTAATTGGGAACCACCGTTTAGTTATGTCCGCCTTTTTTGGCTTTAGCAGATAGTTTCACTCATTGTATTCTTCTAATGTAACAACTAGAACCAACAGATATCTGAAGGCCTTTTAGATACCTGGCAC